AGATAAATATGAAAAAATCCCCTTTTTGGCTAATCCTGACGCTCGGACTCGCCGAGTACCCACACTGGACTCGCCGAGTCAAGCCAACTCGCCGAGTCCACTATGGGACTCGCCGAGTCCATGACTCAGAAACACAAAAATTGAATATTGCAGTTAAGATTCAAACATTCAAGCATTAATTTAATAGAAACCAATCTAGGCTCTGATACCACTAATAATGGGTTTTGTACATAAGAACATTCCTAAGCGTGCATACAAACCCTAATGCTCGGATCTAGGTTTCTCTAATTAAACATGCTTTGAATCCAAGACTCCTAATGGCTAATTAGGTATAAGAACAACACAAAATCAGATTTAGAATCATACCTTGAAACACTTGTTTGATCTTCTTGTTCTTGGAGCTTTAGAGTCACAATTGTCACTCCTCTAATGGCTTACAAACACCAACTAGCAAAGAGGATGATTTGAGAGAGAGGAGAGAGGAAGGAATTCGGCCAAGGGTTCTTTACTTTAGATCAAGTCCCGATTTCCCTTTACCATAGGGTCTATTTATACTTGTAGACTCCTTAAGGGTTACAACTCAAACCCTAGTTGGATAACTATTACTCAAAGCAATCCAAATCCTTCCCAAGATAATGCCTTGGACGATTTTGAGGCTTATCCTAGCCTAGAAATTTTCCAACCCCTATCCAATAAGGATTTATAGTCTAAAGTTTAACTATCAAGCAATTGACAGTTTATACCCTCTTATTTAATTAATCTCCTTAAGTCACCAAATTAATACTAATTAATCTATGACTTATATTAATCAAATAACTATATTATTATTCCTTATATTATTCTCATAATATATTAATAATATCTATTCTCTCATAATAAATCATCCGACCAAGTTGCTATGGTGAAGGCAACCCAAAAGGACCATGCACAATCGGGTCATATACTTGCCTAATATAGTTGCAGCCTTAGACATTATTCCAACATGCATGTCCATAAAGTTTATAGTCTTATGAACCTTTGGAGTCCCTAATAGCTTTCTGGAAAGTTATAGTTGAAGACTTAATGGATTAAGGGCTAAACCCATTAAGTTGTTGCCTCAGACTGTGGTCACGACGTGCCATAGAGGATGTCACAACGTGACGATGGAGGTTCCCACAATTATCTTATCCTAATGCATTCACGATGTGACTAATGAGGGTTCATATTGTGATACCTGCTGCTGAGCTATCCATGACTGAGTTGGTTGAGTTGGAGTGTGGATGAGTTTGGAATTGGGCTGAGTGTATTCTCACGACGTGACAAAGGGCTGGTCACGACGTGAGGCTTGATTATTGGTATTATTGGCTGTTGACTCGGACTTTAACCGTTGACTTTTTAGTATGGTTGACTTTTGGTCAAATTGTTGGGTTTGGGATTCAAACTAAGGTTGGACCTTGTATGCTTTGATAAGAGTGTTGTAGCTGGTTGTGCAACATTAAGATGTGGTTTAGATGATTTCGTGAGTCAGATGAGTCTTATATACCGTGTAGGATGCTAGTTATGATTTCGTGAGTAAGATGAGTCTTATATGCCGTGTAGGATGCTAGTTATGATTTCGTGAGTCAGATGAGTCTTATATGCCGTGTAGGATGCTAGTTATCTTTGTGACTTGCATTATGAGTTAGGCTGGGCCTATTGGTATGCATGTTGGGTTAGGTCCATTGATATGTTGGGCTTGACCCATTTGTATGTTGGTCTGGGCCTATTTATATGTTGGGTTCGGCCCATTTATATGTTGGGTTGGACGTATTGATATATGGGGCTGGGCTCATTATGATGGGTTGGGCCCAATGTGCGGTTTGGGTCTGTTGATATGTATGGTATGTGGTATTTTGGGGAACTCACTAAGCTTCGTGCTTATATTGGGTTGGGACCAATGTGCGATTTGGCTCCTTATTTGCGCAAAATACAACTCTCCTAGTCGAATGGTGGTGGATGATGATGAATGAAAAGATAGTTTGTGGAAGATGGTTATTGATAGCATTCACAATCTGCATAATAAACCAGCCTCTTATATTGCTAGGAAATCCTCAAATGGCATTTGGTGCAACATATCCAAGGCTGTAAAATCATTCTTGAACCTAAATATTGATGCGAATGAGATATTTAAGCTGATTCCAGGTTCTGGTGTCAAAATTATGTTCTGGAAAGACAGTTGGTGTGGCGATACTTCTTTTCAAAAAAAAAATTCCTTAATTTGTACTCGTTAAAAACAGTAAAATGTTTTGCTCTGGAGGACCGACTATCTAGCAATGGCTTCTCATGGATGTGGAAGTTTGAGCCGATGGACGCTATCGAGACTAATGAACTTCTACAATTGTACAAGGATATTGGAATGTTGAAAGTTGTGAAATCTTCCAGTTATATATGGTTTTGAATTCACCATGAACCCTAATGGGGAATACACCATCAACACCATGAGGAGGTTGTTAGAATCTAAATTGATTTTGTATAAAGGTCTATCCATCTGTTGGTTAAAATTAATATCTTTGGAAGTAAGATGCTTTATTTGGAAAGCTTCATTAGCTAGAATCCCTATGCATGATTCTTTGATGGTCAGGGGTGTTAACACTACAAATATTACTTGCCCTTTATACAACAAGGAGAATGAATCAACAGATCATCTGCTCATTACTTGTAAATATACTCGGGAGGTACAAGATTGGATCCTTAAATGGTGTGGAGTACAAAGGAGAAGATTCTTTAATGTTAAGGAATTCATTGATTATATAGCTATTCGGGGAATCTGCTATAGGAAAAAGAGATTATAAACTTGGTGTTCTATTGTCTTTTATGAAATATTTGGTTGGCAAGGAATGACAAAAATTTTAAGAAAATTGCTGCACCACCAATAAAAACTACGGACAACATTATTTCCTCATCCTATGTTTGGTATAAGTATAGAAGCAATTGTGGATGTGGAGCGTGGACCGATTGGTGTATTTCACATTTCTCTCACTTTTTTTTGTAGTTATGTTTCTTTGTCAGATACTTATTATATTTACTTTTCTACTTGTATTTGTATTCCTGCCTCGTTTTAGCTTGTTGCTTGCAAGTGGTTGTTTTTTTTTTATTAAATATATTTGTCGTTTAAAAAAAAAAGGATTCTCCAAAATATGAGGGAATACTATTCATATCTCAAAAAATGGAGATAAAGATATGATATAGTTGGAGAAGAATGTGAAAAAAAAAATGAAGTTTAGGGTAGGTTGGAGACGCTCTATCAAAATTGGGCTGTAAATGAATCGAATGAACACAAACAAGAGTTTGTTCATGTTCGTATATTTAAGTTAGCCGAACAAACAAATGAATATGAATGGATAAATGAACGAGTTTTCTTGTTCATGTTCGTTCGTTTAACAAATTACTTGTTCATGTTCGAGAATATGATAAACAAACAAAGACAGATAAACACAATTGAACACATATGAACATTAACAAATATATAATATTGTAATATAATAAAAACAATTAAATATATACAAAACATAAATAAAATTAAACGAACGAATATAAACAAACATTCACAAAGATAAATAAACCAAAATTTGATTGATTGTTCATATTCAATTTATTTATTAAACAAACATAAGTGCATGGTCGCCTTTGTTTACTGTCCTAAATGTATCAAATTCCAAAAATAATCAAAATCCACCTCGAAAAGAAGAGATATGCCAAACAAGCCCTTCAATTTGCATTTGTCCCTCCTTAACAATTAACAACCATTGAAATCCCCAAATCCCGCCCTATTCTTAAACCCACGCTCGCAAGCTTCCACTAAAAAATTTGCAGCGCGCAAACACACAATAATCATAGACTCTACAAAGATCGGGCAAAAAATCTCATACCAGGAGTTCCAAATCCATCGATAGTTAAACACCCATTAATCAATATGGAAACAGATGAAGAAGAAGTCTCAAGAATTGTTCCTTTCCAGCTCCAATTCGACAAGCCAGTAGCGTCCCAGGTTTGAAAAATCCGTACCCTTTAACCCTTTTCAAATATGTATAAACCAATGCTATGTGTGGTCAGTGTGTAGAAAATGATTCCTTCTAAAGATTTTAGCACCTGTTTTCCTTAATCTAAAGAAATTAAATTCAAATTGTGAAGATCAAAATAGCTGAATGGAACCCAGAGAAAGATTTGCTGGCTATGGTTACTGAGGATTCAAAGATTTTGCTGCATCGGTTTAATTGGCAGAGGCTATGGACTATCTCCCCAGGTCATCTTCACCTCTCTAGTTCTTTTATTCATGAAAAGAGAACCAATATTTGATTACTGCATATGTTTATACCAATCTTGTAGCTATTTTGACAAATAAAATCCTTACTTCTTTTACAGGAAGATGCATAACGTCTTTATGTTGGCGTCCCGATGGTAAAGCAATAGCTGTTGGGCTTCAAGATGGGACT